GTATTTTGTTAAAGGAGAGATATATTCACACATAAGTCTTACATACCACACTTACACAAATTTTCAACCATTCATCTCTTCACTTTCAATGACTAAGATTTATCACAATTTTAGGTGAAAAATAATTATCTTTAATAAATGTAAATAAATCTCAACTATTAAAAGTAGAAAAATGAATGATTGAGATTTGATATAAGTATGGTATGTAAGACTTGTATGTAAATAAAATTCCCTTCTTTTTTTGTTACATGTACAAACTTGTATATGTGTAAGTGTATGTACTTACATATTTTCTTATATGTATGAACTTGTTTTATGTTCCAATTTATATATTTTGTTATAAGTATAAACTCATGTATTTCCTTATGTGTACATACTATGTATAAAATCATGTTAATTTATATCAAAAATTATAATACTTAACGAGTGTACAAATATACCTGTAGGTATATTTATACCCAAGGATAGAATTAGAAAATAATCTTAGGGGGGGTGAAGTGCTATTTAAAATATGTACATTAAAATGAATTTCTTGTCTTGTAAATAAGATTAAGACTTAAATGTATGAAAACTAGAATTTTAAGAATTTGAAATATAGAAAAACTATTTAAAATTTATGTGTATTTAAATTTTAATTCAAAACATAACATTTATTGCAAAATATTACTCAATATGATCTAGATAGTAAGACTAAATGTTCTACAAATTTATTAATACTAACTTCAGGTCAATTTTATTTCACTACTTAGTATAAATGATCATTAACAATGACAAGCATGTCAAGTAAATTAAAATATTTACATAAATCTATTTTCCTTATTAAGTGGTTAGTGATTTATTATGAGACTTTTAAAAGAATAAAAGTTATAACACTCTTATGTAATTTTTTTAAGAAGGGTTTATTTGACCTTTTAAAAAAATATAGGATTGTTTTAATTTTTTTTCAAACGTACAAGGAGGTAAGCACGCCCTTGCACCCCTTGGCTCTGTTCTTGCCTATATGCAGTAGATTGGGTATTGGGTATTACATATAGATTTTCAATATCTAAATAAGTATTGACTATCAAACTTTTATACTTGTCATTGTTTAAGTCAAGTATGAGTGTCATAATCCAATTTTTTCTTAACCCATTTTAATATTTTAAAAAATAAATAAATATATGAAAATAATTTATATCAGTTTCAAGTTCTAAAAAAAATTAGAATTTTAATCTTAAATAAAGTTATTTTATTTAATTAAAATTTAATTTTAAATTCAAAAATCTATTCTATTAAATGTGGATTCCTATATTTAAAAGTGAAAATTCAATTTAAAATTTAAAAATTTACCTTGTTCAATGTTAATACATAGATTAAAAAATATATTATATTAGAATATATAATTAATTTCTAAATTAATGTATCAACATTTAATTAGGTGAATTTATAAATTTTGAATCAAATTTTAATTAAATAAAATAATGTTGTTTAAGGATAAAACTTTAATTTTTTTGGAAATTGAAACTAATATGAACTTTTTTCTAAATATATGGATATTTATGTTTTAAAAAGAAGAAGAAACAAGGAAATAAAAAAGAGAGACATCTTGATTTTTTTTAAAATATTAATTTCTTACAAATTCTCTAAATTTTAAACAAAATTTTTAAGATTTTGAGCTTTAATGTGACATGAGAATTAACATGAAAAATTTTCCAAAAAGAAAAAACCAAGGTTAAATTGAGTTGATGTCATTTGTACTGTATTGAAAGAAATTACAATGTGTATTTTGATGACATGTAGGGACTTAATTGTATGCTAGAACAATATGAGGACTAAAAGATCATTCAAATGAAACTTAAGGCTCAAAGTGTAGTTCTCTTGTCCAAATGATGTTGTTTGTTTAAAATAGGAAAAAATTTTGGAAGGGCGATGCTCTATCAAGCCTTACCTCCTCTAATTCTTGGCCTAAACTACAATAGATTGAACTCAGAAATCACCTTTTCCATCCATGTTCTTCTTCTCCAGACTAATTGGACCCCATCAATCAGCATCCTACATTAAAGACCAACTCAGACATTGTCGTCCTTATTGTTGCTTAGAGAAAACAATTGTTGTTGAAGGAAGAAAAGTTGTTAATTTCGACCCTTTGCAATCAAAGGTTGTGTGATAGCAGTCTGAGGTAAACGACCTTGGACCCATCATGAACTCCCTAAGCCTACTTACTTGCTCATCTTTTGATAACCGAGTTATGATCCAAGTCAAGTTCGTTCCTTCTAAACCTAAGCTTTAGTAGGTCCGTACGTGCTTAATCTTTATATGAGAGATTCTCGCAGTGATTGACACAAACTTGATTATCCGTAAAGAACATGTGGACACCTCTTTGAAGGCTATAAATACTCCCCTAGGGTCCCTTCCCAAACATAGTTGAAACTGATCTCAAGTTTTGTTTTTGTCCTGACATTAGCAGGCCTGATTATTGTTAACTTAGGCATCGGTGTGTCTAACTTGATGACAAACCACAGGGCTTTATAGGTTCATCCAAAGAAAAGGCTTGGACAGAAAGGAGCTCAATAGTTCGTTGCAATTACATTTGGCACTATCTGTGAGAATTCGAACTAAAAACTGTGTTTACATAGTCACTTAAATATGGTTCACACATGTTCGATTCAACACAAAAGTCCACCTCAAGGTCGAGGGAGAGGTTAACTGTGCAATGTGAATCCTACACCTTTAACAACACCAAATTGTAATGTCCAACATGAGCAACATGCAGAAGGGGCAAGGGAGAATCATCCACAGCACCCGTCCATAGCCCCAAAATGATGCCATAGTTGCTCAACTTAATGCCATGCAACAATAGTTTGGCATGTTTCAGCTCGTACTTGCATAATTATTAGCTTGAGATAACCTTAGTGATCCCTTTATTAATTTGTTAAATCCAGTTCATCAAATGACTAACTTGCAACCTCAACAACCAAACGTTGATTCCCAGACCCAACATGAAGCTTTATCCCATATTGAGTCACAAGGCCAATTTCATGTTATTCCACAGCGACCTAACCTACCTTAGCCAGTCGCCTCAGACATCTCCAAAAGATTAGATAACTTAGAGAAGATGATGGCTGAGCATTGAGGCATGTTGCCACCTCAACCAAGTGCGACCTCAATGCCCACTCCTCTGAACACCAACATCATTCAAGAGCCATACCTACTTGGGTTTAAGATGCCTTGGTTCAAAACATATGATGGAAACAAAGATCTCGACAATCACTTGCTTGCATTCTACTCCACCATGCAAGCTTAGAATGCCTTAGATGTGCTAATGTGCAAAATATTTCCATCAACACTATGAGGTAACGCCTGGACTTGGTACTACAGTTTATGGTCGAGCTCAATCAGGTTAGGTGCCGAGATGGCAATGACCTTTGCCACTAAGTTCTCAACTTAAAGGTTGATAAAAAAGACAACACCTGAGCTCATATGAGTTGTTTAGCGAGAAGGGGAATCTCTAAAGAATTATATGAATAGGCTCAAAGATGCCATGCTCGAAATCAATTTATTTGATCAAGCAATGGAAATCATTGCTATAATTCAGGGCCTCGGTCATGAATAGTTCCTAGATAAGTTGATCAAATGCCCATCCATCACCTTGGATGAGGTTAGTGAAAGATCTTAGAAATTCATTACAGAAAAAGAATACACCTTGTCTCGAAGACTGAAATCCAACTGAGAAAGCTAACACCTTACTTGGAAGGAGAAGGTGCAAAACAAAAAGAAGATGAAGGTTGCACAAAACTGAGGTCCAATACCTATCCCTAAGGTTGATAAACCTAATTCAAGTACTTCACAGGCTCTCACCAAACAGATCACATGGACTCCATTCACCTTACTGAGGTCACAAATCTTAATACAAATAAAGAATAAAATGGAGTTGAAAAGATTGTCGCTGATGAAGAGCTTACACTAAATATTGTGATTTTCATCAGGATCATGGCCATATGATGGAAGAGTGCAACAGTTTGAAATTTGAACTTGAAGGGCTAGCCTTAAGGGCTAGCCCAAAGGGGAATACTGAAGAAGTATATCTCAAACAAGGACCAGCTCCAGTTTGTGCAAGAACAGGGACAATAATGTCAAGGACCTCAAAATCCAAGCAACAACGATGGAGTTAGTTATCAGCAAGTCCCACCCCTTCTCCCACACCCATTGCAAATTATTCACATAATAATTGGTGGGCTCGAGGCAAGAGGCCTACATTCTAAGTGATAAAAAGTATATGTCAAGGAAGTCAAACATCAGAACCGAGCTCAAAAGAGGAAGTTTGATGACGTTGATTGGAAGAACCAGCCTATTACTTTCACATCAACTGACCTTGATGGTATTGTAACACCCTATAATGACTCGTTGGTCACCATAGTCATTGTCAACAACTATGAGGTTCAATGTGTTCTCGTGGACATGGGGAGTGCACCTAACATCATGTACTATCATTGCTTCGAGAACCTTGGCCTTGATCTAACTCTCTTACAAGTATGACGATCCTATTTACAAGTTTAATAATTAGTTAGTCCCAATTGAAAGGGTGCTCAGGCTCAATGTGGCATATAATAGAGGTCAAACATGCATTACTCTTTCAGTTCAGTTCTTGGTTGTGTATATGGTGTCCTCTTTTAACATTGTCATTGGACGACCTACATTGACTAAAATCCGAGCTGTTGTCTCATAGTTTCACCTTTGCATGAAGTTCTTTACACCAATGGGGGTAACAACATTGAAGGGTAATTAGGAGATCAATAGACACTACTACATGACCTTAGAAAGATAAAGTAGTAAACAAGACACCAGAACCTCCAACCCCAAACAATCACTAAGTGATGGGGGTAAAACTACCCAACAACTGAACTGATGAAGAATCTAGGAGCACCTCGACCGAGGAAGTGGAAAAGGTGCAGATTGATGAAAAGAATCCAACAAAAGAAGACACAAATTGGGACTAAGCTAAGTCCAAAGGAGAGGGGGGGAACTCATAACCTTCTTAAAAGTGAATAAAGACGTTTTCACATGGACCTCAACCGACATGCCTGGCATTCCGACCTCAGTTGATGTGCACAAGTTGAGCACTAACCCTTTGAAGAAGCCAGTAGCTAAAAAAAGATGCCTTTTTGAAGGTGAAAGGCTTCAAGTTATTAAAGAAGAAGTACAGAAGATCTTACAAACATGATTCATAAGAAGAATGGACTACTATGAGTGGGTTTTAATTTTATTTTGGTGAAAAAGGCAAACGACAAATGAAAGACATGTATTGACTACACCAACGTCAATGAAGCTTGTCAAAAGGATTGCTACCCAATGCCGACCATAGATAAGCTAGTTGAAGCAACCTCGAGAAATGATAAGCTAGTTGAAGCAACCTCGAGAAATGAAAGGTTAAGCCTTTTAGATGCATATTTGGATAATCACCAAGTCCACATTGGCATTCGAAGATGAAGTCAAGACCCCGTTATATGCTGGAGATAAGATCTATTTCTATGTGATGATGCCCTTTGGCTCAAGAATGCAGGAGTTACATACAAAAAGATGGTGTAATGATAGTATTCAAAGCTTAGATAGGCATAACTTGGAGGTTTATGCAGATGATATAGTGGTCAAGAGCCTCAAGGCAAAGAACCATCTAGTTGACTTAGGGGAGACATTTGAGAATTTAGGGAAGAATAGCATAAGGCTCAATCTTGCGAAGTGTGTCTTCAGTGTTGAATCTAGAAAATTCTTGGGTTTCATGGTGTCCCGAAGAGGAATAGAGGTCAATCTTGAAAAGATCAAGGCAATAAAGGAGATAGAGCCCCCAAAGTCTATCAACTAGATGGGTGGCAGCCCTTCACAGATTTGTTTCTAAATCAACTGACAAATGCCTCCCTTTTTCAAAGTTTTAAGGTTAGGTATTCAATGGTTGAGAAGGCAGCTTTTGTAGTTGTTACTTCGGCTAGGAAGTTAAGGTCATACTTCCAATCCCATCCAATCATTGTGCTTACAAACCAACCATTAAGGCAAATTTTACAAAAACCAAAATGCTCTGATAGGTTGATTAAGTGGGCAGTTGAGTTAGGTGAATTTGAAATCACATTTCAACAAAGATCTACAATACAAGCTCAAGTATTGGTAGAATTTGTTGTGGAATGCAAATTCAACCAACCAAATTCTAGTCCTGAGGTAGATATGTGGACTTTCTATGTAGATGGTGTCATAACTCAAATTTTAGTAGAATTTTATTTTACTTTTATTTTTATTTTAACTAATATGTTTTATCTTTATTTTACTTGTTAGGTTCATTCAAAGAAAAAAAGGGGGGGGGGCAAAAAGCAAATTTTACGAAGAAGATTGGAAAAGAAGATGAGAAAAAGGACTCAATTGAAGAAATGGAAAGTTAGAGGGGTGAAATGCAAAGTTTAGCTCAAAACCCATCAAACCCAATCCAAAACCGACCAAACTCAAACCCAATTACCCAAAACCCAAAGCCTACCAACTACCCAAGCCCAAAATCCCAAAACCAAAAATTACCCAAAAATCCAAAACCAACAATTACCCAAACCCAAGCCCAAATACCAAACCCATTTAACCCAAAAAAAGAAAAAAAGAAAAAAGACAAGTAAAAAAAGATTAAATCTTTTTTTCTCCAGAACCTTCTTCTTCCATTTATTTTACTTTTCTCTCGCCCGAACCAGCCCTTTGTCGCCTGCAACCTGCCCTGCACCCTAGCCTCACACCCAAACCAGCCACCCCCCCTGCACGAACCAGCCTGCACCTACCCTGCACCGAGCCCAGACCCCTAGCCCTGCTGCCTGCGCCCTTCTGCTACCACGCCCGGCCTCGCACGCCTGCAATCTACCCTGCACCGAGCCATCATTGCTCCCTCTGCTCTCTGCGCCCAATCACCAGCCCTGCACCGAGCCCGCCTGCTGCACCAGCTCTGCACGCCCGAGCCATCATCGCCCCTCGCACGCCCGGCCTTGCTCTACCCTATCCCCTGCCACACCTGCACCTCTGCTGCTGCACCGAACCAGCCCCTTTGCCGCCTGCAACCGCCTACGCTCGAGCTTGCACACTGCTGCGCCCCCTGTTCTGCAATCTGCTATGCGCCTTGTCCTGTTCTTCGGCAAGATGCTGCACGCTTCAGACAAAATAAAAAGACAAAAGAGAAAACAGCCTCATCCTTGCCTCATATGCAGAAAAAACAACAATACGGGTCAAATTGGCATAATTAGTGATTGCCTTTTCATTTTTATTTTATTTAGTTGTTTGGGGTATATATATATAGGGCAAAAGCAGAGTAACGGGGGGGTGGTTGGTTGATTTTGGGTCTCGTTGTTGGGGGGTTTCGTTTGAGTTTTTGAGAGCAATAGAAGGGGATTTTTGGAGCTTAGTTTTTGGGGGTTTTCTTGTTGATTTTCGTGTTCTTCATTTTGGGAGTTGGAAGGAGTTTTCTTCTGGTTTTGAGTTTGGTGTTGACGGCAGAGGAAAGGGAATTTTTTCTGCTAGAGGGAGCCTGTTTTGTGAGAAGGGATTGTCAAGGTTGCAAGAGGGATTCTATTTTCTGGAGTGGCTATACTAAGGTATACCTCTGAACAGAGAATTTTTGTTAGGAAAATGGTGAAAGAGATGGTGGAAACTTGATCCCGTGGGTGGGATCCCTTCCATCAGATCCAGATCCGTTTTTCTTTCAAAAATTCGCCGTGTTTGTCTTTCTGTGGGTGTTTATTTTTTTTTATCTGATGTTAAGATTGAATGTGTTTTCTTGAAAAATGAATGAAAAGCCAAAAGAAATTATCCAGTTCTTCTTTATCTGATGAATGTATTTTTATTTTATTTTTCTGTTGTTGTTTTTTTTGGATTAGATGTATATTCTGGAGGAACTTTGTTTGGAATCCGATGAACTCTGGTTTTCTGGTTTTGTCTGCATGTTTTTAATCTTTTCTTTGCTTATTTTCTCACTTGGATTCTGTTTGTGGGTTAGGTTGACCCGACCCAATCCAATAGATTAATTATATATATAAAAAAAACTAAAAAGGTTAAAAAAGTAAAATAAAATCAAAAGTTATCTCTTTTGTTTCAATTTCGCACAATCCGTTCATGTTCAAGCACTTTAGTTCAAAAGTTTTAAATTTTTTCAAGTCAGTCCTTTATTTTTATTTTAATCAAATTAGTCCATTTAATTTTTACTTGTGTTCATTGTGCATGCATGTCTTTGATTTCGTCCATTTTGGTCCAAAATGTTAAAAATGTTGCAATTTGGTTTATCTCTTTTTCAAGTTTGCTTATTAAGACTCAAACACAAATGTAATAAATAAGTTGAATCAAAACCCCCAATGTTAAAGTATGCAACCGTGTTTAAACGGAGGATTGTGAGGTGCACGTATGCCCTTCCTCACTCCTAACCGAACCCCGATCTCTGCACAGACCCGTTTTAGGTGACTTGTCCCACCTTATAATTTGGACGAGTGGCGACTCTCCTTTTTCTTTTATATTTTCACACTTGATTTTTCATTATTTTGAAAAAAATCTCAAGTGGTCGTCAACAGATTGGCGACTCCATTGGGGACTGAACCCAGAATCTCTGGTTTCCATATTCTGGGTTCACGAGGGTCGAGCTAATACTTTAACTTTGGGGAATTTTTCAGCTTTCAATTTTCTTTGATTGTTGAGTCTTTGTGAGTCTTTGTCATTTATTGTATATGTTTGTTGCATGTTGCGTGTTGCGTGTTGCGTGTTGCGTGTTACTTGTTTGCTCATTGTTTTAGTGGTTGCTTTGATCATTTTGTCTTTGAGTAGTTACCTTGCTACATCTTGACATGCATCATACCTTGCTAACATGTTCATACATCATATCATCTCACATGCTCATCCATCATTGATATAACATGCTTATTCATCATGCATCATGCCTATACGCCTACTTGTTTGTGTGTGGCTATACTCACCTTTTACACTTGGCTATGGAGTACTTAGTGAGTCTCTTCCTTCTTGTGCGATTATTTATATCTTGTTGTATGCTAAGTGTTGGTTGCTTTGTGTTACTAACCTTTTGCATTTGGCATAGGAGTACGAGATGAGTCCCTTCCTGCTGTGTAAGTAGGTTTGTTTGTGGATGATATATTTGTTGAGTGCTTTACATGCTTTATTTGATTGCTGTGGGATATATGTTGCTATTTTTGTGGTTGCCATTGTGCAGGTTATTGGAGTGTCATGCCCCTTACACACACTCACTCTCATTTTGCATTAGGTCCGTGTCGAAGGTGAACCCGACCTCTAATCTGGAATCCTTACGAATTTGGCTTGGAAGAACAATTCTTCCCGTTTTGAGGAGTAAGATCGGTTCCTGTTAGGTTGTTTCCATTGGTTAATACGACACTTGATGATATAATATCATTCTGTGTATTAGCTTTTGGAAATATCTCCCGTTGATTCTGAAAGGATAAATGGTTGAGAAGGCCTAATGCCTTTTAGGAAAACATGTAATGGCCTTAAAGAGATACCAACCCTAGGACATGTTTCCCTTAGCATCCCACCCGTGAGGTTAGGGATCCTGCGTTTAAGACACAAAAAGTGGCATTTTTCTTCACTAACTTTGTCTCCGCACATGACAGGTTTTCGTTTTATATACATTTGAGGTATGATTAATTATTCATCTTTTGCATTTAGACATCATTCTTAAGGTAAGGAGCATTCCACCATGCACTTTGTATCTTCATTTTTAACCCCATGCATTATTAAAAAAAAAAGAAAAAGTTCATGATTGTTTCACATGTCATATGTCCATCCTACTCATTTCACATTAAATCTTCTATATGTCTTGAAAATTTCACATGTCATATATCCATTGTATCACATTTTCCATCTCATGCATTGCAAAATATATTTTCATGTTCATCTCATGTGACATTCTCCATTTTGTGCATTTTAAATTTCATTTTTCATCTCATGTTTCACAAAAAAATTGCAAAAAAAAAGAAGAGTAAAATTCCATCCATGTTCATTACATTACATCTTCCATCTCATATAAAAATTGCATAAAAAAAAAAATCTCATCCACATGCATTTTCTATCTCAAATTTTCATTTGAAGCATTATTATCTCTATCTCATATTTCCCATATTTCATAAAAGTTGCATAAAAAAAATTTAAAAATGGTGAAAATGAAAAAAATGAAAATTTTATCCATGGTGCTAGTTTTCCTCTCATGTTTCTTCATCTCATCTTTCTCACATTTCAAAAAAAAAAGAAGGAAAAAAGAAGTCCAAATTCTCATTGAAAGTTCTTACCATCTTGCACTTTTCTACAAGAAATTTACGCTTGCATGTTTCGAACTTGTGGGCCTTTTTCAACCAAATCCAAAGCATTTCACATTTTTGAAAAAAAAAAAAAAAGAGAAAGAGAAGAGGTTCTTCAAAGATAAATTCATGAAAATTCCACTTTCTAGACATCAAAATAATTGGAGCACATGATTTTTGAGTATCACATCATCCATTTTCTCCAAGCATCACACCATTCACTTTTTCTTCAAGCTTCACGACACTTGCTTTCTTTTCAAAGGAATGATATTCTTATGAATGCCAATTTAATGGGTTATAATAGTGAATCACCAGCTTTTCCTTTGAAATTTGCTTGGCATACTTAATGAAGAAAAATTCATGTTTTAGGATACAATTTCACACACCTTACCACTCGTCAGCATATTTATATTCTTGCATCCTTTATCACTCATTTCCCATCCATGTTTATTTCTTTTCATGCATTCCCAAAAATGCATGCTTTAGGACACAACTCCACACAAATTATCACTTTAGAGCATATTCATGTTTTTTCATCCTTTATCTATTGTTTGGCATCCATGTTTACTTCTTTCCTTGCACTCCCATAATCTTGTTTGATTCTCTGCCTTCAACAATTGAAATATGGATTCATACCTGGTCAAATGCGAGTCTTTATCAGTCAAGACACTTTTGAAATATTCATCCATGGAGAAAGCTTTGACCAACAGAGGATTGAGGAGCTCTTTAACTGCAAGCATTTTTCTCCATCGTGGGCAATTGCCAAGTCCAAGGGGCAAGCTTAGAAGGACAAGAACCAAGAGCAACCGCGAAGATCAAAAGCTCAAGCACATCGCACTTTATATGGCTTTAGCAATCAAGGGATTCTCCAAGGAAAGGAATGCAACTACTCATTGAACAATCATAGTTTGAAAGATCTAGGAGCTAGATTTTACTAAAGACTTGAATGCTACCATGTTGATGTACTTAGTGTGATGTACTAGGCTTTTACTTTGTAATGAATAACCATCTTTGTAATGCATGTTGAACTACTTGTAAATGTCTTCTATGCAGCCCTTGGAGTCTATGGAAATCTCAAGGGGTTCAAAGATATTTTGCTTCATCCGAGGCTTCTTAAGGATTGGAAATCGACAATGTGTGAATCCATATAGCAATTGTTGAAACACTAAATCATGCAAAACTATGGAATGACTTCTAACATTATTCTATGTTTATTTTTCTTTTACTTTTTGTTTGCAGGTGGGGTTCATAAACTATTAAAAAAAAAAAATCAAGCATGACAGTCTCCCTATGTTTTCTCTCTTTTCGGAACAATGCATCATCCCTCTAGAAGGCGGCCTTAACATGCTTTTATAAACTCACCAAGATATGATGTTGAAGTGGACTTACACACAAGACATATGGATCTAGATTCAATGAATGAGGAGGCAAATCTAGGGCATGGGGAAATTTGAGTATTATTGCTTTTAAGGATGAACCCTTATTTGACCTGACCATTACTTCTGCCTTGGGGATACTGTGGCCAATTGGACAGTCAAGCTTTTCTCTGCTTCATTCATGCATGAGTGGAATGAGTCAGCTTTCTAGTAGCTCAGCTTGTGGCTACATGAAAGGAGGGAATAACAAGCTCTTTTATATTCTTTGAAATATTTGCTATCATGCTAATTAGCTTTCCCAATCTTTACAATTTAGTAACATATGTTGCCATATCACCATCCATTAAACTTGATACAACTCTTCTTGATGCCAT